GTTTCCCCAGCAAACTCTGGATTCCCTCGCCCGCCGTGGGCTGCAAGAATTAAAGGCAAATAATATAAAAGTAGTTAATAAAGACTGAACTTCACCTGAAACTCCATATTTATACATTAAAGGAACAAAGTGCAAATTATACAAGGTGAGCCTTACAATCATTTCTTATTTATTTAAATGGTAATTGTGCATTTATTTTATGAATGTGAATTTTATTAGAGTTGTCTTAGAGATCAACTCCAACGACACTCATAAAAACTAAATATTATTTCAATTTCCCTTTTTGGAGTTTGACCTCCTATTTGCCTTGTCTGTGCAATTTGCTTTGTTTTACAAAGCAGAACACTGTGTAACTCTTTTATAATGTCCGCTCCGTTTTTTATTCTACTGCCAGGTGGTGCCACGAATTTCAGCATCTGTGAGAAAGCAGAGAAACAAGTTGACTCACAAGCAGTCTTGTTGCACTGAAAGTTGATGATGGTCATTCTCTCAAAGCCAGAGGAGCATTTGAGGCCATTTGGATAGATCAGAGTCAGATCTCCATCTGAATAACTGAAGAGGAGGAAAAACAATGGAAAGAGGAAGTAAGGGGGTTGGAAAGGCAAGATTTGCTCTACAGCTCCATGCTCATGGATCAATGTCCGGATATCATTTTGACAATTTACACATCTCAACAAGCAAGTTTATTAAATCAAATTAGAAAACTTATTTTCGGATAGTTAGAAAGAAAAAAAAAACATTTACAACTTTAATAATGAAACCATCTTTGATCCTTTTGTATTTCGTGATTCTCTGACGAATAGTAATCACGGCCAGTGGACTATTCCACACCCATACTCCTATACACACTTCACTAACACACAGAAATTACCGTAGTGTCTGGTTCTGATATTTTCCAGCCACAATCTTCCTTCCTTCGCCATTCTTCACCTGGCAGGACGATATGAATGGCCCGTCACCACATTCCTGAGTGGGAACCCTACCACATATGTTCAGGTAGTAGATGTAGCTGTCAGGTGTGCCACTGGGCCCAGACTGTGTATAGTATGGATGATCCGAAGCTACAAACACAAGAAAGCATTTGAAAGTTTCAGTCAACATGTTACTGATTTTTATCTTACTGCATGTATGAACATTACCTATTAGGAATATCAACAGAACCAATAACTACTTTTCAATATCAAAATTCTGACAACATGATAACTACACATATATGTATGTGTATAATGTTTGTTTATACATATATAATACATATAGCTAGGTGATAGTTAGCTTAGCTGGCTGGAGGCAGCTCTTCTAAAACTCTTATTAAACTGTACAAACTGTTGCTTAATATGTGGAAGATCAAAACAGGACATAATGTAAGAATTTGCGAACACCTGGTATATGTGTTTTGTTTTGTTTTGTTTTTAAATAACTGTCGAATAAATCCTATGTTTCAATTTCCTGGACCCTGAAAATGTTGAAGGATATCAAAGCCTCTAAAGGTTCTTTCACTTTTTCTATTAAGCTAAAAATGAAGCAAGCATACTGGCTGCATCTCAGCACAGCGCTCAAAAAAGAAAAGAATGCATTCAAAACTCATCAGATCTCACTCCAGTGACCTGCTGGAGGTCATTTTGTAAGGCTCTAGTAGAGCTCATCCTGTTCTGCCCTTGCACAAAGGAGTAGATACTCATCCTGCTGATCGGTTAAGGACTTTCTATGGCTTTGTCCAGCTCTCCTGGAGTAACTGTCTATATCCTGGAATCTCTATTATGCTCTTGAAACTGTGCTGGGAAACACAATAAACCTTTTGGCATTGGTACATATTGATGTGCCATCATTGAGGAGGCTGAACTAGTGAAAAAACAGTCAGAACAGATGAGGGGAGAAAAATGTCAGTGGGCTCCACCTATAGAACCATTCTTGTTTTGGGGGCTGTCACTGTGTTGCCCCCTAGCACACCTATTCTTAATTTCATGACACCAAATATGATTAGCAACCCCCTCTGATCAATGTTCCCTCTAATTTTTCACGTGTCTGAGCGAACACACAAACTCCCTGAGCGATCCCTTTGACCACTGTGAGCGACATCAGACGTGTGCACTGTGGTCACGCCGGCATCTAATCCATCCAAGTTACATAGTTTATTAAAATAATCAAATTACAGTGTTTACATTTATGTTAGACTACTTTTAATTAACTGCTTTAACCCACTTACAATGAAAATGTAAAAAAAATCGTGTTCATGACCTGTGTAGTATGTTAACACTATTGGAAGTAAAAATAACTTGAACTCCAATTTCGAAAACACAAGTTACTTTTTTTTTTATAAAGCTCTGACTTGTATTATGAGTCTGTGGTCTGGGAGAGAGTCCTGTAACTCTGTCTGCAAAATACAGTATATAATGACCAATATTGGGCAATTAATTATATAGTTACTTCTTCAAAAAAGTAACTCAGTTTGGCAAACAAAGTTTTTTGCAGCTAATTTTTTTTTTTTTTTTT